ATTGTACTTCGTTCAGTTACGTATTGCTCATCATCATTTCTTTGGGTTCAAGTCCTAGCCTGTATCAAATGGCCGCTGCGTCGCTCTGCACTAGGCAAGTGTGCTGGAAAAGCTTCTTGGAACGCGTGGGCTCTATAGGCCTGCGTTGAGTTGAGGGTCGATGACGATGGGTTTTTGGAAGCGCATGGTCACCGCGTTGAGGTAAAAGGAGGTTTACAGCAGCTTGTGAATGTGTTGACATCCGTGCGAACCAACACGCTCTTCTCGTGATAGGCTCGTTCTTTCCCTTGAGGATTTCTTTTCATGAGGTGGGAAATGATTGGAAGGATTGGATTGGGGTTCATTCTTTCTTTGGAGAGGATGAATCAAGGGACAACTATGACCTGGCCTTGCGTGATTCGTGCAGTGCTTTCTCAAGAACAAGGGATCGCCCGACGTTGCTCGTATGGTGGTGATTTGGTTTGTGAATTCCTTCTGATTTGCTTTCTTCCTTAGAGAGGATCGCCTAACGGTATACCAAATCGTCATTCCAGTACCAGATGGTCTAACTTGCCTGCTTTCTTATTTGTAGAGACGACGATTACGATGATTACCACATTCACAACAATGACGATTACGATGATCACCCCATCTCTACAGCAATGACAGTGATGACGACAACGAGATTCAAAAGGAAGCCTGCAAGATCCCATTCTTTTCAACTTGTGTGTTTTTGGATATTGGTGTGACGGATGAGGTTGACGACTGGTGACGAGTACTCGTACGAATGATGACGGAGGACGACTACACGACGATGGTGATGGCAATGTACAGTAGCAAGGTAGCTAGATGAAATAAAGCATTGTTTATTTATTACTCGCTTGTTGGATTTGACTAGCTTGTGGATTACATACTATTGCTTTAAGATGGAATAATAAAGGTGGTCGGTTAAGAAGTACATGGCTTTTGGGATACAATAAGGAGGAGTGGGAAATGGGATGAGCTTGAGAAGAGAAAAAGTGAAGAGATCCCTCCATTGAGTTTCAGGATGAGTGACCCATTCAATATGTATATGTATCTTTTTACATATACAAAATTGGTTTATGCAGCTCGACTTTCTTCTACATGCAAATGTGATACATACCTTGACACACCTTCATTGTTGGATGCTGTTTACTTACGTACCTTCACAAAAGGCAATCATCATCATCATCATCATCATCATCATCCATTTGTGTAGCAACCTGTCAAGGACGTGTCTGTGTAACCACCACGTGCCGTTTCACCCAGCTCTTCATCTTTCAGTTAATGCAGCCGACACCACCCACTAGGAAAAAAGCAACTCCATCACGCTTACAGCATAGGTAAAACATAAACGTGCCTGTATCTCCAAACTTTACAATGAAACGTGGGGTCTTTGATATGTTAGTGATGCTCATGAATGCGTAACAAATATATAAATGATAAGGTGGCAAATTAGCTTCCATGGGAAACCCATGTACTGACAAGGATGGCCACGCGAAGGCTGCCGTCACCTCTCCCCTACGATTGCACTAAGCCGGATAACGGGGGCTGCCATTGTAAACAACAGCATCTTCTATAGGTGCTGCTCAGTATGTATGTTCGGTCTGATAAAAGGATAGCATCCCACGCCCACAGAGGCCGACCCATAAGAGCAAAAAGCAATACATGATCCCATATCTACCACAAGGACACTGATGAACAGTCTAACTTCCAACGGCTAAAGGCTGCAATTCTCAAATGCAATTGATAGGGCCATGATAGGGCTGACCACACTGTCGCATGTAAATCATAGCTGCCAACGATGCGTTACTCAAAAGAGCAAGGCACCATCCCGTTCTACCCATAGCAAATAAACATCCGCCATATCAGTAGTTGCTGTCCTCAAGCGACCTTCTTGGGTAGGCGTCATCAGAGACACATCATGCACTGCAACAAATAAATCCGGTCTTGATGAAAAGCATACGCGAGAAGCCAGAGAACATCCAAGGTATCCATACAAGTACTTGAGATGTGAGATCCGCAATGGCACCGATAAAACATTGCTCTGAAGATCTATCGATAAAGAGACGACTTGCAGGTAGCTGATTTCCAAAACCATGGAAACGGTATCCTTGACAACCACAACTATAAGATAGAGATCGCTTGCTTGCTTCTGAGACACCCACCCAAATTCAAATGTTGATCTTCGTCTTCCAATTCAATAGGATTCGCCATTGACAGCTGTAAGGAGAGACTTTGATGGCACCAAAGAGCACGCGAAATTATAGCTTGATGGAACGATGGGCCTATAAAACTGCATATCACTAATTTATCTTTGAGGTAATGGTAAAGCAATACTTAGCCGGTGTCATATGAGGATCCACGATGTTTGATGCCACCCAGTAATCAGAACACATTCCTTGCTGTAGAGATGTCGACCCAGTGACCAATTCTGATAGCCGTTTCGCCAAGCGATACTTGATGATGAATGCCATGAGAGATGGATACACCTTGACAGCACCAAAAGGACTTGCAACATTGTTGTCTGTTGCTGATGTGATACACCCATAAGATACGTGCGGTGAAGAGAATCTTGAAATCAATTTGCCAATAACGAGAACCACCAGAGGATCAATAAATGTTGCTGACGCTAAAGATGTGGGCTCTGTTGCTCGTTGCTGCTTCTTGCTTGTAGCTGATATGATCCACCAATAACAGGCATGCGTAGCAGGATATCCATTGAAAGGGTTGTCAACAACTAGGACCACAATAAGACGAGATAAAACTTGGCGACACCAAAGGTATAGAACTTGTTGCCTTGCCGCTGCAGATGCTATAAAAGGAAGTGTCCAATAGGTGGTACAGTAACGAAAACGAATCGAACGATGTAATAGAGCAAGCTGACACTGAAGAATGCTTTGTAGACGTTGCTCTTTGACCCTGACATGATTCGTCTACAAACGATGCACAGTAAAACACTTTCCCGAACACATAGAACCCGATGCTTAGCAATGATACCTGCATCCATGAATATTCCAAAGGACCAAAATACAAGTAGTTTGCTGAATATACACACATACTATAATAAAAGAGGGGTTGGTTGGGATTGGAGCCAAAAACGCGTCATAAGACTATTTACCAATGATAGGCCATATGAATAAAACCTTGTCGACATCCAATGATAGCTGCATCCATCAAGAATCCAAAGGGAACAAGACAAGTAGCTCGCTGAATGACCCACATGAAAGAGGCATAGTAGGCATTGAAAAGAATGGACAATGATTTACCAATGACAGCTTCATGCATGAAAATTCCAAAGGACCAGAAGACAAGTAGCTTGATGAATAGCCCACATGCTAAGATAAAAGCGGAGGTTGGCAGGCGTTGTAGAACGAATGGATCAGCAATTACCAATGATATCCATATGCACGAAAACACGTTGACATCCAATGACAGCTGCACCCATAGAAATCCCAATACTCCAGAAGAAAAGTAGCTTGCTGAATAGCCCGCATACTATAATAAAAGGGGAGGTTGGTTGGGGTTGTAGTAAAAGACGGATCATCATTTACCAATGATTGCCATACGCACGAAAACATGTCGACATCCAATGACAGATGCGTCCATGATAAGCCAAAGAACCAGAAGACAAGTGGCTTGCTGAATAGACCACATACTATAATAAAAGAGGAGGTTAGCAGGCGTTGAAGAATAGAAGGGATCACTATTTACCAATGATAGCCATACGCACGAAAACATGTCGACATCCAATGACAGCTTCATCCATGAAAATCCCGAAGACCCAGAAGACAAGTAGATTACTGAATAGTCCGCACACTATAATAAAAGAGGATGTTGGTTGGGATTGGAGCCAAAAAACGGATCATCCTCTATTTACCAATGATAGCCATATGCACGAAATCCTGCTGATATCCAAATCAAGCCGATTCTTTGCAATCGTCCGCTTGTTGATAAGGCCCGCTACGGTGGCACTCGGCTTGAAAGCGATGGAACGATACTTTATGGGCATATGCAGTGAGAAGACTGAGTAATATTGATACCACCAAAGAGAGCATACTTACATGATGCCGAAGAGCCCTTACAAAGAGAGACAACGTGACAATCCTTGCTGCCCAAGACCACATGCAAATCGAGAAAGCATTGTGCATCGAAAAGCCCAAACCAGATCCTAGCTGCGGAGTGACGTGGACATATGGCTAAAGAGCGATGTGAATGGCAATCGTTTTTCATTGAAAATCGAATGCAGCTTGACGATGAATGCCTTGAGGAGATGCATAAATGACCTTGGTAACACCAAAGATGTCAACGCGGACTCTCATTGCTTGTTGATGACATTATCCATCCATAAGACGCGTATAGTTGTAGAGATCCACCAAAGGAATTGCCGATAATCAGAACCACGAGATGATCGGTGGCTTGTTGACGCCAAAGGTATAAACCTGCTCCTTGTTGCTGACATGATCGATCGATAAGGAATTTCCATCGTTTAGGATGCCGCCCTCCGAATTGCCGATAACGAGAAGAACCAGATGATGGGATAAAGCTTCTGATATGACACCAACGATATGGATGCTGTTACTTGTTGCTGATACAATCCACTCATAAAAGACGTTCATTGGCTGACATTCCCCAGAGAAATCGCCCGTTGCTTGGTAACCAACCACCCGAGACGCAATAAAGGTTGACACCCCCAAAAGACAAACGCTTCCCCATGGTTGACATGATTCACCTATAAAAGATGCACCATAAACAATTGTCCCAACTCATCCAACAATACTTAGCAATCATAGCTGTGATCTTGTAAGTTCCAAAGCACCAAAAGACAAGCAGCTCTCTGCAATGGTCCCTCTAAATAATGGTAGGCGTTTCAGCAAAGGTCTCCAAAAAGCATGAGAGTCATACATACCTGAATCCCGAAATCATCACCCGCAGACTTGGGAACCAAATAGGCCATCAGGATGCAAAGTAATAATCAAAGCGCACAGCCAAAGAAACGTCATAGTACTGGTACTCTCCTGTGGATCGACGCGATGAAGTGCATCAATAGAGATACCATATTCTCTCTAAAGGCAAGGAGATCAATAGCCGTAAAACGATGGAGCCGTGCGAACAGAGGATGCATTTTTAAATCCCTAAGGCCGCAACATGAGTCGCACTGTCCCCGGGCACAACATGTAGAGCTCCACAGGAAAGTATAGTACAATGACGTCCTTGACGTGCAGCCTTGATAATAATAGCATCGCCGAAAGAGGATCTGCCACTGTATGGAGTTTGGTAAGTTCACTTGAATCCAACCAATCCCACAATGATGCACTGTACCTTGAGGTATTCCCAATACCATTCCATCGATGCTTGCAAATAACCTTGTATCCATCCGATCCAGTATGTGCTGCTTCTGTTTTCATTGTAAGGCTCGTTAATTAACAAGTCTTGATTTGTACATCCAATGCCATGCATACCATTGAGTCAACCATACAGCATTCTTGCTTTGAGATCCGTATCCTGTTGCTGCCAGAGGTACCATCATCCAACATGTTCACCTACCATAAATGCAATGTGAGATAACAAGTAAAACCAACCCACACGCTTTTGTTGTCAGCATACCCAAAAGAGGCAATGTGAAGACGTCTTGAGAACTCTCATTGCGGACAACTCGGTAAGAAAGGCACACGACGCCCTGAACCATGGTGATCACAAGGAATTGCAACCAAATACACCATCCGAAGGCAATACAATAATCAACCTGCAGCGTCAAGGTATGCCACCATATGTACCATACTCTCATTGGATCCTGAAATTGGCATCATAAGAGATATCCACCTTCTCTCTGTAGGCAAGGAAATCAATAGCCGTACTTGGATGGAGGCCGTGTGCACAGCGGATGCCTTTTCAAATTGGCCTTGCCATCGCATCTTGAGTCACACTGTTTCCGGGCCAAAATTCCCCAGGAGAGCATAGTACTATACAATGACATCCTCGACGTGCCGATTGATCAAAATAGTATCGCCGAAAGAGGATCTGCCACTGTATGGTGTTTGGTAAGTCCACTTGAATCCAACCAATCCCATCATAATGAACATCTTACCTTGTGGTATTTCTCAATAGCATCATTGCCTCGAATAAAACCGTAACTCCATGTCACCCATATTGTCTTGCTGCTGTTTCACTGTAAGTCTCGTTAATTAACAGGTTTCGCTTTGTAGATCCAATACCACGCATACCATTGAGCCAACCATACAGCATTCTTGCTTTGAGACCAGTGTCTTGTTGCTGCCAGAGGTACCAGCATCCAACATGCTTAAGCTATAATAAATGCAACGTAAGATAGCAATCATAACATTTGCTTTTCTTGTCAGCATACCCAAAGTAGTAATGTAAAGAAGTGTTTCTTGTGTGACAACCATGGTAAAGAAGACACACGACACACGACGCCCCCTTTAAATCTTGTATGAACCAGAGAACACCAAACTACACGTAAACTTTAGTATCTCAACGACCAACTTGAATAATAAAGTAATGCAACGATTGAACGTACATGTTGTATTGCAATGGGAGCTTGAGTCAAGGGTAGATCGCGTGTATAGTTGTTGTTGAATGTCTGCAACGGGGAAATGTCGCCATTGACCACCCGTTCACCCAATCGGTGCTGTCCATTGAAAGGAATGCCAGCTGTTATTGTGTTGTAGTTTGTGAATGGAGACAAGCTTACCTTGGTTTGTGAAGTGGGAGTGAAGAAGCGGCTCTTTGTCGTTCCTACCACTTCCCAATTTGTGCATTACACGCCGCCCAGCTTGAACCTATACACCTGGATCAATAGTAATGGTCACTATTCAAATAACATTACTACGTGGGTGGTATCGCTTTCACTTGTATCTTCATCTCTCAAACGGAAAACATGCTCAACATGGCAAAGGATTCGCTCCGATCGATATGCCTATGCATGCATTTATTTCATGCGCCATCTAGAGCATAGGAGCAAAAAATGAAGGTCTTGTACTCTAGCAGCAGACATCATTAAACGCCTATCGCAATCTTTCAAATCACGTACATAGGAATCAGCTTTTGAATGATGGACGTCTTATTTCAGTGATATGTGCTTTAGCACATGTTGGGTCGTCATGTGGATCATATAATGATTGAAGAGACTACATAATGGCAAAGGCCAAGTATAAAAGATTTTCCGCGGATTTCCCCGGTTGACTTTGATGACCAAAGTAAACGTGGGTGCCATAAATAACATGTATTACCTTGCACTGCTCAGCATTGATGAGTCAACGTACCCTGATTTTCGAGATCCATTATGCCGGTTGGCGAGATAGGATGTCTATGCACTTTGACAGGTGAAATCACTGTCTTACCCCTTACAAAAGGGGTAAATATATCCCAATCGGATCCGGCTCCGAATAGCTGGAATAAAAAAGCAGCGTCCTTTTTCCGATGATTTAAATCCACTCACCGTCCTTTTTTTTTCTTCCCGAACAGCACTGTATCATGGCTGTTGATCCACAGATGCCCTCATTCGATACCCAAGGCACCATAGAAGCACAAGATACAACAAACAAGCAACGGCAGTCTCATCAAGGACAATCCAATGAGAATGAAAGAGACGTCGAGGTCAACACCATGGCCAAAACAATGACACATACATCTTTGAATGAGCCGTATTCTGTATTTACGAAATCAAAAAAGCTCACCATTGTTGCCATCAGCTCTACTGCCGGTATCTTGTCAACAATTTCAGCTAATATCTATTTTCCAGCATTGACTATTATCGAGAAGGTAATGATGTCAATCGCTTAAAGATGTGCGTGGATGATAAACAACCAAAGCAAGCTTACAATCACACATGCCATAATAGGATTTGCATACAACCACAGAGTTGGTGAATTTGACTGTGACAGTGTACATGATATTCCAAGGCATCTCACCTGCGTTTTGGGGTTCTCTCTCCGACGCATGGGGTCGGCGACCAGTATATCTCTCAACGATCGTGGTCTATATGGGCAGCTGTATTGGCCTTGCACTTGCACCTTCATATGCAGCATTGTTAGTGCTTCGCATGCTACAGGCATTTGGGTCAAGTTCTGTTATCGCTATTGGTATGTTCCTTGTCACTTTCATTTTTCACGCTGCCCTACTATTCACAAGTGCAGTAATAATCAGTCTCGATGCTAATCATGCATAAACACCATATACATAGGTGCCGGTGTAATTAGCGACATTGCATCCCCTTCAGAGTAAGGATTCAAGGAAGAAAAGAACGATAAGATGCACTTGTGAAACTTACCCGTGGCATTCTGACATTTAGGCGAGGCACATACAGTGGCATTTTCTCATGCATGCAAATGCTTGGACCTGTTATTGGACCTATTTTAGGAGGCGTCATTTCGCAAGCAGTATCATGGCGATGGATCTTTTGGTTACTGTTGATCATTTCGGGTGTCATGGTCACTACCATCTTTTTCTTTCTTCCTGAAACATTGCGGTCTTTGGTCGGCAACGGCAGCGGCTATGCAAATCCAACACCTATTCAATGGCTACAACGCCGAATGAATAGCCATGGTCGTCGTCAGTCATGTGATACTGCTCATGATCCTGTGCAATTACCCAATACTTCGAAGTTGGCTAAGGTTACAACACAAAGCTCAATTGCTCGCATGAAAAGAGTTCCCAATCCGTTACGGCCTTTATCTTTTCTATTACAACCCGATGTTGCTGCGGCCTTGACCTATAATGCTTTACATTACGCGGTCTATTATTGCTATCTCACATCGCTTCCCAGCTTGTTTTCCCAATTGTATGGCCTCAATCAGCTGCAACAAGGTCTCTGTTTCATTGTTCAAGGTGCTGGTTGTATAACGGGATCACTGGTTGAAGGTCGCATTCTTGATCGTGATTTCCGTATAATTGCAAAGCGAGTCGGGCAAAACGTAAGCCGTAGTCGTTTACCATTAGATTTCCCTATTTTCAAGGCACGATTACGTACAGCATGGATCCACGCGCTGCTATTTCAACTTGTCACCATTGCTTATGGCTGGTCCTTGTACGCCAACGCACATATGGCCGTACCATTGGTGCTTCAATTCATCAGTAAGGCTTATGAGAATAGGAGAAAAACTTAACAGGAGATTCATTGTGTGTTTTCTATAGCTGGCTTCACCATAACATCCTTATTCAATGTATTTCAAACCATGATGATCGATTTATTCCCTGGTAAAGGTGCGTCAGTCACAGCATCTAATAACCTAGTTCGCTGTCTCCTTGGGTAAGTGCCTCTGCAAACATACGCATGATGCAAAAAAAGCGAGTGATACATGATCTAAGACCGTTATTGTGACCATAGGGCAGCTGCCACCGTAGCCATTGAGCCTGGTATCCAGAGAGTTGGTGTTGGGTGGATCTTCACCATACTTGGCCTTATCTTGGTTGTCTCCAACTTGTTGCTCGTGCTATTACTAAGATACGGCACAACTTGGCGTGCTCAACGTGCCCACAAGAACTCGTCCTCAAATGAAAAGCATCATTAGAGCCTCGTTCACTACCATCATGCCTCATGTGGCGTGCTGTAGAACATATACCTATCGCATCTACTACGACTATGTATTATTATTACACCCTATCAACGATAGTAAAAGTCCCTTAGTGGAAGTTCCTGCTACTAGAAGCATACCTGTGTATAGGCATCCTCTGTTGGTTGTACGTAGACAAGCACAGCCGGTTGATTACTACCTTGTGACGCACGTGTTGGACGTAGCATGGTGACCTATGTATTTCTTAGCATTGTGGTATTATTGCCATGCATTATTGTACAATGAAAACGGACGTATTGCGCATATCAAATCAAATGATACGAGCCATTTTTCGTAATGCTGCATACGTTTTATTTGAAGACATGGCTGTTTATTCCAACGATGCAATCCAAATGTGGATAGCAATATGGTAAACAACCGGTGTGAGTTGGAAAAAGTATTGGATTTGGATGCTGACAACATAAGTACAAAAGACATTGAAAGAAGATGGAGCAAAGTAAATATAATACAGAGTTGACTACGCAAACTCGATGGTTCATAGCAATGAATAGGGTAAGAGGTATAGCGAATGATAGATAGGTATAAGGAGAAGGTGAGGAGAATATCAAAAGTCGTTCGTTCCGACCAACCACATAATAATAGGTGAAACAAGAGATGTCGTGTAGGTGCGTTTAAACGCATATGTACATAAAAAGGGTGGGTATTTTGTGAGAAGAGCAATACAGTGAATAATAGAATATAAGCATAGGGAGGGAGGAGAAGAGAGTGAAATGATGTTGGGAGAGATCAAGTCATGCAGATTTGCTTAGATGTGAGGGATAGCGAAGAAAGGAAAGTTTGATCGGAGAAGGTTGAAAAAATAAGGATGTGTCATGCACACACAAGCTAGTGCTGTGTGGCGTTGTTACTTGCGCTGGTGATGGGACGTGTGGTGTCAACCTTGAAGACATAATCAGAAGAAGAGACTGAGATGGGTGAAGGAGTAACCTTGCCCATGTAATCGAGCGTGTTGTCTACGTAGATATCATTGTAAGTTAACCATGCTTTGAATCTAAAAATGCTCCTACTTACTTGTTGCAAAAGCATTGGCGTTTGTTAGGTCCAGTTCATCTGGATGAGCACTACTGTGATCATCATCACTGTCATTGGTCGTTGTTGTACCAGTGGTTGTAGCTTGGTTGTGCTCTGGATAATGACCAAACATAACGTCGTTTAAAGGGGTGATATCTACGCCATATGTGTCGAACAAACGGTTGTTTGTAACATCAAGTCCTGTCGTAGGTGGCAAGTTTGGGCTTGTGTCATCCAATGGAAGCTCCAATGATGGGCACGATGATGATGTAAGGCTGCTTCCAGGCACGTTGGGTGATGATGTTGTGCTGGTAGGCTGATTCAGCTCCAATTTGATATCATCAATCTCGTCTCCCTTGTCGCTCATATCAGTGCGTTTATGACCAGGATATAGCTGTTGCATCAATTCATCGTGCTCCTCACGCAACTTTCGGATCTCGGTCAAGAATCGCTCTTCTTTCTGCATCGTGCTACGTACTATTAAGGGATGTCAATAATCTTGGTTTAGTGTAATTGATTTTTTTGTTCGCATACCAAAATCAAGGGTACGCTCAATGATGGTTCCTTTCGATGGGCGACGATCATTTTGTAGGTTGGGTAGAGAATGGGCCAACTGCTGGAATTTGGTGTTGAGGTTCTCTCGGCGTGCACGCTCAATAGCATTATGCTCGGCACGTCTTTCGGCTTTGGTTTGCATCCTATATGCACATTTAGGTTTGTAATTAGAATATGCTCTGATGCAGGGCATCTTCTTTTGCTTCGGCTTACACGTGGTAACGCACGTAAACGCACGCACACATGTAAGGCGCATAAAGTAAATGTGCACTCACCTTTTACCAGGCGACGTGGGTGAGTCAATTTGGTAATGCTGCTGATAAGCCATCACTATGCATATATAAAACAATGATGAGTAAATGATGATGCATGACAAACAATGAAAAAAGGAACAATGATGCATACATTGTTGGTGATAAATGGCTTGTTGTTGCTGAAACATGGCATGCTGCTGCAATTGCTGAAGCCGACGAGCTTGCTCTTCATGTTGTTGTGGGAATACATGCATGTGCTGCGAAAAATGGTTCATATGGGGATATGGATGATGATGGTGACGCTGAGCAGGTGTTGGTGGACTTGCCACAGGTGAAACCATGTTGCTGTAATAAATGGGAGCGGCAGGATCAAACGCAGGATACGCCTGGGTGATGAATTGTTGTTGGGGCTGTGCCATCGAGTAATAGAAAGAGAATGGAGGTAAACAAAGAAAAATAAGGGTAACGCGTAAGATGAGGTGAATGGGTGTGTGTTTGTGTGCGGATAGGTGGAAGTTTGGGAGTCCAAAGCACGACCAAAGGTGGGTGCTTATATATGAAAGAAGGGGATGGGCTGTGTCCTAAAAGAAAGAAAGGCAATTTTGAGATTCCGAGGTAGTAGAATAAAAGTGCGATGGGATCACGGGAACATTGTTGGCTAGCAATTGCTCGGGTGGGTTGATAACTTTTTCTTCGTGATCCCCGTGTAGCGATGTAGGTGTGCTATGGTTGTGTGCGCTGTTTGTGCACTCCATTTCAGCATACATCCCCCCCAAACTGGATGCTTTTTTACTAACCGACCCTGTCAAGTAATAGAACACAGGCGTACACATACACTACAACTTGCTGGTCTGGAACTTTACTACTCTCAAAGGATTGTTGTTTTCTTTTTCTGCTGGGATCAGCTTGCTTTATTTTAGTTGTGCCCCTGCATCTTAATTGAGGATGCTCGTTCTGCTTTTACCACGTTATTTCTTGTTTAAAGTACGGTGAAGGGTGGCGGTGTGAGCAGTGGTTGATGATTCGTTTGCATGTATACAGGGTATTGTTGGTGGGATTGCGGTGGTAGCTATATTAGGGATCCCGAATAATACATGCATGCAACCACTAATAATGATAGTAGACATGTTTATTAGCTCTTGTTGCTGTTGCTGCAGCTTCAAGATCAAGTCTCTATTTGCATAAAACTTGTATCCCAACAACTCTAGGCTTACTTTAGCTATTCCTCTACTCATCTTGAAGGCCTATAGTAGCTGGCGCGAGGTGCACGTATATGTCTCCATAAAAGTTTACTCGGCTATTTTCATATTTTCATGTCTACGTTCCCTTCTTTGTGTACTAAAGTAAAAAAGCGTAATCCTTGTGTGACCCCCCATATCGGTTGACAGCCGGATGGTCAAGTTTGGCTTCCGAACGTTACATTTCTTTGTCTGTTCGCCTTAAGGAATAAGTGAGAGAGTGTACATGTCCTACCAGAGTGCGATAGTTTTCTTCTTGATCACCCATTCATATGTCAGCCAAAGTCGGATAGGTGCCAAGAGAGGCTACGTGTACCAAAAATGTTGGTCCAATACATCCCCCAATTATATGGAATTGAAAAGGACTTATGCATTTACCATGCATCTTACGCATACTCTAGTTGCAAGATCTTTTTGTTTCCAATGGTTAGGTGGCGATCACCCAATGCACAATGCTGACGATAGGCTGACGGAATTACACAGACGATCCTAGACCCATGCCCGCAGCATGTTTTGCCTTTTCTGATATCCCAGTGTAATCCTCATATGTAGATACCCATGCATGGAAATCTCATGTACAGCGATTCTATTCGACGTTGTTAGAGTAGTACACAATCGTAAGGGCACGTCCTTTTTGTGTAATAGAGAAACGTGTTTCTTGCTATTATGTATGTCGAATGACGGAGTAACTATGTTGCCTCGTTTTCTCTTCTATCGGGAGGAAGGTACAATATCCATCTCGTGAGAATCGGTCCGAGCTCGGTAATCAAGTGCACTCCATCCCCTTTGGTACCTGAATGATTTGTTACACAGCTAAGCTAGTTGAATGTGACACCATTTGACAACCATCGTTATTTCCAGCTGTTGTGCACGAGCCTTTCACTTCAAATGTTTGGATGTTAGAAGAGGAAAATGCAACGACGATGGAAGCAATCAGGATGAATAAACAACAAAGCTAAGCACATTCATCGGCTATCGTCGTGGGAACCAAGGCTGCTCATCACCCTTTTTTATTTGTTGTTGTTCTTATAATGGCTCGTTGTGATTCAAGGTTATTGTATTTGGCTGCCACACAGCCATCACCCCACAACATCTTGGCCAGGATTTGCTAATCTGAGATGTAAAGAAAGAAGCTCACCACCATCGGCTTTGGAAAAAAAAACCCCATCCTTTATTAGATTTTTAAGAAACGCATGATACCAATGCTTCTTTTCGTTATCTTAATAGTGGAACAATCCCGGTGCTTGGATCAAAGGAAAACATTCAACGTGCAATAAGGCTTGATCACCTGTTTGGAATATGTAATGGCAAATGGCCTCGTTGTCTCGTGTACTCATGGTGCAGATGAAGCTATTCTCACAAGCACAAAGTTTACAGTGAGCATCCCTAAACCCCGACCCAACTGCAGAATACCTTTGTGTGGATCGGGATCCCAGTGTTATGTGCCTCTTGCATTATGCCGGTTCCCCCGATTGTTGATAATGATGCTTTAGACAAAACAGGCGATGGGCACAGACATATCCGCTTGCTGCTGCTGCTGGGGGGTGGTGAAAGAAACATTTTGAAAACTGAAAGATGGGTGTGTTACATCTTGCCCACAGACGTCTCTGTGCAACTATTGATCGCTTTTCTTTGCCGACCTCACTATCACTTCCGATTGATCGCAGCTTGCAGTTGTGTACACCCTTGCTCCTTTCATCACTTTTCTTTTCGGTAAGCATTCAATCGAGATCTCACATGACGTGTATTTGGTAAGCTCGCGTTGATGTGGCTGTTCCAATTGTTGAATCACCATGGAGACGTATACCATTGTAAGGTTACGGTGACATCATTACCATTCATAATGCTTCCGAATCACTGGAACATGCCTTGTGGATTGATTATGGCTGTCATATTTGTGTTTATGATTCGTGCGGATAGGAACAGCAACGAACATGGCATTGAAAGGAGAGGCTTACAACAAGGGCCGTGGCACAAAAATGCTTCTCAATTGGTTTGAGCTATTGACTAAACAGCGTAAGTGCATCGGATAACAAAGGTCACTGTCAAGTTTTTTTTTTTTTTTGCTTTGGGTACCTTGCACGACACCGATATAGAACGATGGGAGATAAATCTGGTGGGAATAGATATGACTCTTTTGCCTTCTATGGCCTTGAGGCGATTTGTTTTTGTGAGGAAAAACATTCGGATGTTAATTCCGCCTAGTGATCGTCACTAACGTGTCCATCAAGTAACGACTACTTTTTGCTGCACGTTCCAAACAAAGATGCAGAAGCCGGAACATGATGTTGGAGATGGTATGTGCACGTCCATGTCGTTATTGTATGACCTTGCGAATGCTATTACGCATCCCATAGGTCTTCAGCTGAAACATCGTTGTCATTGGATCACACACACACACACACACACACACACACATACATGCATATCAAAAGGTCGATACCTTGTCCTATAGTACGCATTTATGATATACCAGCATGCGTTAATGACGTGAATGAGCAAACTTGGTAGTCGCTGCCGTAGTGGTGGCAGATGTCAGCGGGCTGAGATTGAGGCTCCCATTTGTTATTAGGTCTGAGCCACGTTGAATTATTATATCAATGCGGCAATGTTGCCAAGAGAATCCAATCACGTTGCTTTCTTTTTTATCCCCTTACCATCATTGTTGCTATGCAGTTGGCAGACGCAATAAACATACACCTGCAGGGTGCCCGAGAATGGATACAAGAATCCCTTGTCCTATATACCAGCAGCTCTTTGTTCACTCGCAAGAATATAGCGGTGGCTGCCATTTCATCAGGTGTTGGCTATGCTGTTGTAAAGTGCATTATCTATAGGCTTTATTTTCATCCCTTGGTCAACATCCCTGGGCCACCAATTGATTGGATACCGTTTCTTGGGAATCTTCGGGAGAGTTATCTAGCAGAGGTATTAACGAAGATGGCACAAACTTTGGCTAGCATTATTATTAACAGAAGTGCGATGATGAAATTTAGCCCGGTGTCCTGGAGAAGAAATGGACCAAAAAATACGGTGGCGTTGTCCGCCTACATGGATCTTGGAATAACCCCATGATCATGGTGAGCGACCCACAGCTTCTCAAGCACATCTATACACATCGAGTATACGACTTTGTAAAGCATCCTGGGGATGTTCTTATTCTCGAGGCCGTTTTAGGTCGTGGTCTTTTGTTGGCTGAGGTATTGTATATTATCATCAGCATGAAGCACATGATGTTTACATGTTGACAAGGCTTCGTGCTAACATGTTTATGAACACGTAGGGAGACCTCCATCGACATCAACGCAAGTGGCTCACGCCAGCTTTTACAGCCCAAGCAGTACGAGAGCTTTCGCCATTGTTTTACGTGCCATCAGTACAGCTTATTACCAAGTGGCGCCAAGCATGCCAAGAAGGAAACACTACAACCCTTGATATTTCTCACGGGATCACATTGGTGACACTGGATGTGATAGGGCTTGGTGCGTTTGGTAAACCATTCAACTCTGTGAAGTATGATGGCACAGACATGGAAAATGAATTAAGTACATCCTACCGCATCTTGTTCGACCCCAATCCCTCCCTTACTCAATTTCTCAGCATCTTGATTCCATCATTACGTTTCCTTCCTACGGCTCAGCATCGTAGATTTGCAAGGGCTGAACGCACGGTCACGAAAAAGACAATGGAAATTGTTACACAAGCCATGGCAAACAAGGAGGGGCATTCCCGTAAGAACAACCTTTTGGGGCTCATGATCGAACAAAAAGACATGTACACTGGCGGTGAATTATCAGCTGTGGATCTAAAGAATCAATGCATGACCTTTTTGGCTGCTGGGTAAGCATCCATTTTTGTTGGCTTTACACATTTAGACACCTTTCTTATGCTCCTTTTACAGCCACGAGACAACCTCATCAGCACTTTCATGGTGCCTTTGGCTGCTAGCTCAACACCAAGATATTCAAGATGCATTACGTGAGGAGGTGAAACCTATTTTTGAATCCATTAACTTGGAGCATGCGATGTTCAAAAACGATGATACACCTGAGCAACTCGATGCAAACCTACCTGCAGCTGATATTGTCAACCAATTGCCCTTGCTCAACAACGTGTTCAAGGAGACACTACGTTTGACACCCACTGTGCCCAATACAATGCGCTATACGGCTAAGGATATCGAGTTGGGTGGATACCATATACCCAAAAACACGGGTGTGATGTTACCAATCATTGTCAACTTGCACGATCCTGAAATCTGGGGCGACGACGTAGAGCAATTTAAACCAGAGCGATGGGATTCACTACCCGCTTCCAATGTCTCGCCTTATGAATTTGCACCATTCATTGCAGGAGCTCGTCAATGTATTGGCCACCGCTTTGCACAATTGGAATTTAAGATTGTACTCGGTTTACTATTGACACATTTCCAATTCTTTGAGGAACCTGGATACCGCCCAAGCAAACGACAATTCATTACAATGCGCCCTAACCCCAATCTCCTCCTTCGTGTTAAGCCAATCCAAATGCAAAAATAGCAAAGCGAGTCTATTAATAATACTATCATCATTCATTGTTTTGGTATCCAAGGATACAGTATCACATAATGAAAGTGCGTCATTGCTTATGAGTCTTGATCAAGTGTATTAAGTATTTGTTTATTATGATGGTTCATTGTTTTAACGATCCCTGCATATCATATGTATGAACCTTGGTGATGCTAAGAGTGGACAAGGAGTAATAAGGGTGGTGATATACAAAAAGCCGTTGGCTTTCCAATCGGGATTTAACAATAGCTACCGTTTTCTGTCATATGCAAAAGCAACGTGCGCTGACCTTCTTCTCTGGCAACAGCATCGCGCAATCTCCCATGCGTTACCTCTTGGTATTGCCTTGCTACAACATCATCTTCAAACACGTTTCATCCTGCGTTCCTGTAGCACGCGTAGCCATGGTTACAGAATCGATGATGATGCACGTTTCCTCAAAAATTCATCAATGGTGTATGTTGTGCCCCTTTTGGATATACCAGCAAGTTGGCAATGCAAAGACCCAATGCAATGCCTATAGTAATTTAAGGGTGAGTGGGATGACTTGGGCGCTATTAGCACGAAGATCATGTGCTCACCAATAGATGCTTCGATCATGCTAAGTGCAAAAGAGCCACCTTGGGACATGTATTCATTTTGGTTTCCACCGAAAAGCCCAATTGCCGCTTTCAATCCCAAGCTTCCAGGTACAAGATAAAATATCTATTCGTGTACGTCATTAATGCATGCACCTTTTAGCCCTCATTTCACCAGCTTACCGCCACAAGCACTGCATCGAATGACATCCTTGCCGTAAGCTTGGTAAGAAGGTTGCCTAGCAACCCTACCACAAATGCTGGTACCACTTGGATGATTTGTTGTGGTGCATCGACTACGCACGAGAACAGCCAATTCATACAAAATCCAACGATTGAAATAAATATGACTACCGGCCACCGAGCTGGACGATTGCGTAAAAGAATACAATAAGCGAGAGCAAACACAGGCACCGTTAGGAAAAGGTAATATTGGGATTCGGCCACGATGCATGTATTGGCATTTGCAGTGATTTGGCAATAAGGAGCTGCTTCCGTAGATGTGTGACGATCAACCGTGACATAGAGAGATGATCCCATAGAAACACCATAGCCGAGCAAGAACGAGTAAATGATAGCATAGACCATGCGAACCACACCGCTGACCAATTGACGTGATACAAGTTCAATGATAGCAATAGCAATCACATAGCCAGGAAGGATCACAATAAAGGATGCAAAAGCCGTGGGTATAAAGCAAAAGCCCCATCGTGTGGATGCTATTGATATTGATCATTAGCTTATACGTAACATTTGATCCAACGTTATGTTTACCTCGAGACACGAATCCAATAATGATACAAACAGTGATTTCCCATATTGGCTGGAATCCCCAAAAGCGTTCACTGAAAAGCTCATATACAGCAAAAAAGACTACCAACATTTGAGCAAAAGGAAAGAATGAATGGTGATGCACTTACTTGCTAAACCAGCCGATAACCCTGCCTCTTTCCAACGCCCTCCAAAAAACATGACACAACCACACAAGCTGATAACCGCATAAATGACGGGATTGAGCCACGCAGGATAAAATTGTGGATCCTCAGACACCTTGTCGAGAAATTCAAGCGCTTCATCAACAGTGACCTCGCCATGGGCCACAAGCTTTTCTAGTCGAAAAACCTCTCCCAGCTTGTGCATGTCAAATAAAAGTGATTGGCGGATAAAGTGCGTTTCGGTGGTATGGGTGCCTGGATCGAAAAAGTTGATCATCATGATGTTGGGTATATAAACGAATTCAGCATCCACATTGAGCGTGTCGGAAACTTGTTTAAGGATGTATTCAAGTCGATGAGCAGGACATCCATAATGCATAAGTGCTTTTGAAAGGCGATACAAGAATGATTGTCGTTGCAAGATGTTGGCAATTTCAAATGCAATACGAACACGATCGGCGACAGTGATTGGCTCAAATTGGGATGCCTGCGAGTTGATGCTATTGGCGCGTGAAGTACCAGGGCGTTTTTTACGTCGTTTGTTGAGACTTGGGACAACATGGTCACTCGAAGTGACATGATACAGCCATTGTCGTGATGATAGATTAGGCGATGATTTGTTTTTCTTTCAATGTCGATGACTCGTGAGCATGTACGTATGCATGTGTGTGACATGATGATTCTATTTACCTTTGCCAATTCTACCAATGGTGTGCCACCTCGGTCACGTTTGACAGATCCTTGCCTCCTCTTTGACTTTCTCTTTTGGGATCTCGTGCTCTAATATGTATAAGTTAGGTATCATTGTAATCGCATTAACAATGCTTACCGATCTTCTTTGTGCCAAGTGGGATTCCAATTGCAATAAGCTCCCCAATACGCTGCCACGATGGTTGATGTTGATCCCATTACTATGCTCTTCATCTGATTTCTCAAGGTGATCATGGCAAGGTCCTTTATCATGCAAGGCTTCAAAGCCAACATTGGAGGGTCGTGATCCATGTAGAGGGTGATGTGATAAACGTCGTCCATTCAAGATACCCTGGATCAAACCAAGTGATTCCGATAATTGACGATTAAATCCTCCATGGCGATGATGTCCTTCAGCTTCTTGGTGGCTCTTAATGGCAGCATTCACTAACGTATCGGCACTACTCGATCGTCTTGGTGGAGGTGTTTCATCCATAGTCGCGTCGGTATCATAATTGGTATCATTATCCTCATCCTCTGTAGTGCTTGCCGATCCTTCAGTTGATGGGACCGATAACTTTGGTACATTGTCCATGATACAATGAATGAGAAGGAAAAGGAAAAGGGGGAGGAAAGACCCTTGTTGCTGCTGCTTGTAGAAATTGCCTGGTAAAAAATAGCTGAATGCAGCACAACCCCCTTGAAAATTTGCATCAAGACCCCCCACTCTTGTTGGCAGGGTAAAAAAGAATGTACATCGGGCACCCGGCACACAATCGCATAAGACTTTTCTGCAGTAACAGTGGCCCAGATCAAAACTCGCCGTGTCAAATTTATTTTAACTGCGTTGATCTGCAGATAATGCATATATAGAGTAAGACAAGGGATGATCCAAATGTGGATGAGTGGATTGATGCCAATGCAAGTTATGTACAAAAGGTGCTGAAACAACAAGCAATATAGGAAATGTATGTGTGTGTGTGTGTGTGTATACTGATGTTCGCCATCCATCCATGTTACGCTACTTTGGCCTTCTTTGTCGCTGATGATTCATTGTCATCGTTACCATCATCCTCTTTTTCATTATCTATAGCAGGTCGTTTGGCATCGTTGCTATCGAAAATACAAGAATAGGTTAATGCAACAGCAATGAGAAATTGAAAAGAAATAATACCTTGTCTCCTGTTGTCGTGCGAGTGGTGATGGCTTATAATCTCGTGCTGACCCAGCAGTGGATGAAGGTGCTGGCCAATTGAATGCATGAGATGCTGTAGGTGTTGCTGAAAAGTTGAGAGGACTTGGTAACTCATTCTGTTGATAGAATTCTGGATAGAAAGTTGTAGGCGAAAATAGATTTTGAGCAAACTGAGATGGTAATGCAGATGGTGGTCCAATCCCTGCACTTTGTTCAGCTGAAGTCGTTGCTATGTTGTTTCGCTTTTCTTGTGATCCTTCTTCGCTTTTAATCGCCTTTTCCTCTTGTTCATTTCCTGTAGATGCCGTAGACACCGATGGTTGCTGCTGCTTGGGTGAATCACCAGGGATTTGTACTCTTAACTTGGGTGGTGCTTTACTCTTCCCATGGCTATGATGACTCGTTGCAGATGGTGTTGGACTAGGCATGTTAGAGGCTGATTGAAGAGGACTCTGAGTCTGTTGATCACCACTTTGAGAAGGAGCTGGGGGTTGTGTTGTATAATTAGGACTCTGCATAGCCGATGATGGAACAGGAAGAGCTGGTGATCCTGCTGATACCACTGGTTGTTGTTGTTGTTGCTGTGGTTGTGGTTGTGGAGGAGGCATTTGCATACGAACATTGGATGCATACATTGGATGATGTGCAGGATGTGATCCATATTGCATTGGCATGCTCGATGTAGGAGGACCTGGTGGAACAGGAGCGGGACTCTATTAACGTGATACATAGTAAGTAAGTGGATGAACATATGCAAGATGGATATATATGCATTACATGGTGCTGCATCATATACATTGGATGTGGCTGTGGTGGCGGTGGCGTATGTTGGATACCGTATACCTCATAACCAGGCGACATTCGATGTTGTGGCGTTTGATGTTGGGGGTGATGCATGCCGTAATGACCACGTTGATGTGATTGTTCATGATAATACATAGCAGGAGATGCTCCATGATGATTGTGTGGCGATACTTGGTGATGATGACCCATTCCTCCCATCATACTCTGTGGTGGCTGATTATGCATCATGGATGGTTGCGGAGGTGTAGGTTGATGATGATGAGGTGGTGGTGGTGGTGGATATTGTGCCTGCGTAGGAACGGTAGCCATGGGCAAATTGTCGCTTGACGACGACCCCTTTAATTCTTGTTCTGGTCCAGAAGCCTGTTCCATATCCAATCCATCATCGTCTTCCTTGACATGCTCTTCGTCTCGTTCGCTAAGATTGACAAACTGCCATCATAGTCAATATACCTTTTCCCTTTCCATCCATGTGGCCTTTTACACTTACATCACGATTGTTTTTGCTCTCATGTGGCTCGTTGTACTAAAGAAGACCATTGAATAAGGATTGTTTACTACGCAAACGTGAACACTACTTACATCAGTGTACTTGAGCAGGATCTTGTCAATCTCGGTGCTCGCATACTGCACAAGCTTGCCACTCGAGTTGAATATGATCAGGGCAATCTCGCAATCGCACAGGACACTCAACTCGTACGCTTTCTTCATGAGACCTTGCTTTCTTTTCAAAAAGGTGACCTAGATGTCAAGTATGAGAACATGCTGCAGGTGGTGATTGAGAGAATAGAAGACTGCACCTGACGATTACGGTCGTCCTTGATGGGTTGGATTTTGATCTTTTTGCGGCCCATGGCGTACTGGAGCTATGGTGACACGGGAGCAGTGGTTATGCATGGATCAAGTAACGCAGGAGATACAAGCATGAATAGAAACAAAAGTAGACTTACGCTTTTTTGGAAGACGAGATAAAGCTTAGAGATAAAAATAAACGTGGTAACGGTGGTGTCTGCTCCTTTGAAAGAGAAAAAGAAGCCCAGCCTGATATCTTGCTTTTCATTGGACGTGTTTTTAAAAATGGGCGTGCGATTTGGACTTTTGGAACGCATTCGTTGCACCTTTTTCGGTAAATCCAATCCACCTTGCAACTCGCCTTCTTTTTAGGTGAGAAAACCGATCGGCATCAACAACGACCTTAACATTGCTTTTCGCTGACAACGTTATGCAACACACGTTTATTTTCAATGATGTCAAGGGCTGAGTGATGAAGACAACAATGACATCTCTTACCAGCAAAAGCGTCCTTTGTGACAATAGCGTCCATAGATCACGTGCTCTATAGATCGGACGTACACAATCTAAGCTTACCGATCTTCACATACTACTAGTAGAAGACATGCTCACAAGGACATTGTAGCAATAAAAGTTCATTCCCCATTGATGCTGATGATACCAATCAATTTGTTTACCCAAATGACATTGTTTACTATCATTCATGCACTCCAATTTCGTACACATCCCTTTCATAGCCCAGCGTTCCAGTAATAATATCATCCATGTGTAATTGAGAAATCCATTTATTAAGATGTTTTGCTCAGCAGGAGCTTGTTGCGTTCTTCCTTGAGTCGATCGATAAGATCGGCCTTACGACCTGAAGTCGAATGACCATAGTGGCGCAATAGCTGCTTCAATTCAGCTACTGTAACATCGTTAAAGTTGACATGAACAAGTCGTTGATCCATAGCCATTTGTTGTTGCTCGGGGGTCAATGATGGTATCCTATGTCGTTGGAGACGCTCAATTTGTACCGGCATACTTGGTTGCTGTGGGGCACGTCGCCTTGATGCTGGTGCTGGTGGTCGGCTATCAGCTACTTTGATTTGAGCAAACACGATTGGCTTTTGATATTGGCTATGGAAAGCTGGTGGAACAGAGGATGATCTTCGTCGGGAATTTGATTTGAGCGGCAATGGTTGTTGCTGTTGTTGTTGCTGCTGATGTAGTGGTTGCATTTGTTGCCACCAGCGTGCATCTTGCTCATCTGTTGGGGGTATCAGGAAATCGAGATCGGAGAACATTGGTTCAAGAGGTAGCATAGACGGTGAAGTGGAATTATCCTCCACTGATGAGCTGGGTGAATAAGACAATGCCGGCTATACATGTACACATTGTTTGTTATTGTTAGCCAAAGTGTACACACACACACATGTCTCCTGTGACACTTACGAAATTATTGAGCGTCAATTGGGCGTCAACGGAGGAACTACGCCTACGTTGCAAACCCTCGTGAACATACAAGGCGTTATTGTTGGGCGTGGGTAACCACGGAGGAAGCTGCTGCTGCATAGGTGGCTGCTGCTGCGGCGGTGGTTGTGATAATGGCTGGTCTTGCTGTAAAGTGGGATCCACTGCTGGTGGTTGTTGTAGTTGATCATCGTCCAGTTGTACGAGATCGTCAAAGTTAAAAGTTGAATCTAAAGCCAGTGGGTCTCTTTCCAACAACAAATCGCTTGCACCCTGGTTTGAAGAAAACATAATCGTGGAAAGAAATGCAATGAGAAAGATTGCATGACATGCCATGTCAAACCCGGTATTTCAATCACAGTGAGACACCGCCAACTAAAAAAGGGATTATGATGTCATGCTTGACTCATAGCCAGCTATCTTTCCATGAAGGACGCCATAAAGAACGCTTCAACAAGCGCTTTTATGCACCAACCCCCTAGCCCTATATAGCTTACTATAACAATAATGATCCGCGCGCGCGCTCCACGATCGATAAGGCAAATTGAACATATGTAAAAAAGATTATCCTTTCAACCCATAAAGAGATAACAACAAAAGCAAACAAGTAGCATATGGATGTTTGATACAAATCAACACTTTTTCTCTTTTAATTTGCAAGTCTAGCTAGATAGAAGCGAAACGAAGCAAAGCAAAGAAGAAAATTAGTAAAAGGTGGTGGGACGCTTGGCAATGAACAAGCGGCGCTGGGACTTGTCGACACGCTGGATGCGGTGAGGAAGAGGGAAAGCAAGCTTGGGAACCAAGAGCTGCTTAACGTATTGACGACGAATATCAGCAGACTTGACTTCAGCAACACGCATGATTTGAACAGAAGAGAAACGAGCACGATGGCGAGCGGCCATATCTTGGTCTATAAATGGAATGAGTCAAGGATGGATCTTTTGAGCACACGCGTATTCTATTGACACTTACAGCAGTTCTCAACGGCTTCAACACGGGACATGGAACGGTATTCCTTGTACATGTTGTGGGTACCAGAGCGAGAGTCGTAGCGGATCCAGATACCAAAGTTCTTGATCTGCTCAGGGTGCTTCTCGAAGATCTATCATCATAGCAGCATATCATTAATACCTACTCTATCCCCACTCATAGATCCCATTTCTTACCTCGTTGACAGAGACGATCTCACCAGCAGCCTTCTTGACCTTGCGAAGCTTCTTCAAGTAGTACCAGAAGCGGGACTTGGCAACAACGGTGTTGGGAGCAAACACACGCATACGGTACAACTTGGGGTGAGGCTCCTTCTCAGAAGGGAGCTTACGACCAACCACCTGATATTCGTGGAACTGTAAAATGGAACCAATGTAGTTTGGTGAGTGTGCAATCCTGAGGTTGAGGGGTCATTGTCAGAGGAGGAAGCTGGAATGTGAATATGCATATGGTGATGTTGCAGTTTTAGTATTGGCCATAGAATGAATTTCCATCAATAAAGGTATTGGATGTTGCGTATTCATTGATGGATGGATGGATGGATGGATGAATGATGGATGATGGTTGTGTATAGATGGATGAATGGCTGTTGATGGCTGTGGATGTGTGATAGGTCGAAATGTATGTGATGATCAATCGCCAAAAGTAATCCATATCGTTTCGTATAGTAGAATGCCATGATGATTGCGATGTAGAATAGACTTCCTCCTCTGACAATGGATGGATGGATGTTGTCGTTGTTGCAGCACATACCTTAGCCATCTGGATGAGCGAAAGGGAAGGAGGATTATTCGGCCCACACCGCCACTTCAATTTTGCTGTCTGCCAATCGCACCCATCATCCTCTCCTCCTCCCACCACCCAGCTTTAGACTATCACCCACTCACCCACTCCGTTATACCATAATACCTACCCCCTACAATGTCTACCACATCCATTCTCTATGCCTTTATATTGTCTTTGGGTAACCATCATTATCCAGCAATATCATGTTTTCATTGTTGCCATGGTTACATGCTGTTGCTAGATAGGTAAGCAAACTCCACCCTTCTATGACCATTGGGTTCCCTGACCATGAAGATACAAATGATGCCGCAATGCCTGAATCAGCAACTACTTTACAAATACCTTGGGAGTCTTCTTATGTATCATAAAGAGCACTATCCATTGTGTTTATGCACCCCTGCCACCTACTACTAAACAAGGACTCTATCTTTATAAAGACAACCCGTGTCATTGTGTAAATAAGAGAGCTTTAATAAAGGATCAATGGCGTTGGAATACAAAGAATATGAAGCTATGACAATGGGGGAATATCATGCATGAACATGGCTCGTATAATGGGCTCCATCTTGTAACTGCCGCTGGGTTCCAGGAAAAATCAATTTGCGCTTCCTTCACTTGTCAACTTCCAAACTCTTCCCAGCATCCCAGCAATGAGAAGTTTGCAAGGCCGTTTGACAGACAATGTGGCTCGCTGCCTCAGCTATTACAAGGCCGAAGGACAGACCGATTGGAGCATTTCAACTCTCTACGAATACGTACAGCAAAGCGACAAAACTATGAAACGGGTCAAGAAGAAGCAGTTGGAAGCTGCCATCGAGAAAGGTTAGTCAATGATCTATACCACAAAAGAACGATCGATCTCATTTCTCGATACAGTACTCCCTGAATTTGCACCAAGTGGACAAGATCAAGAGGAAGGGTATGTGTAAAGGAACGCGATCTATCAAACAAGTGTGCTGATCTTGTTTTTTCCTTCTCAACTATCGACAATAGCAACAATGCTTCTTCCGACGACGACCAAAATGCAGAGTATGCCCTGGTAAGATTGGGATTATAAAAGCCATCGAAACACAAGCTAATTGTATGCCTATACGTATATAGCCCACCTATCAGGAAGCCAATTCAATGAATCGATCCGTGACCAATCTTTGGAATATGCAACAACGACCTAGTGGTGTGGATTCAGGTACTTCTACGCCCAATGTGTCTGCACCTGGTACACCAGCAGCTACGACTACGACATCCGTTCCAGCTACTCCAGCTGCACAAGATACTGTGGATGACAAGAAATCGGCAAAGAAACGTACAAAGGGTGGATCAGGATCGGGTAGTTCAAAGCGTGCACGAGGTATGTATGATAGTGATATATATGGGTCGACATGATGGAAGGATTGAACACTTGCTATGTAGTTGAAAGCCGCGACGAACCTTTTGTACCAACAGCACGTCTTTCGGATTTGGGTGGCATTGATCATTGCGTCGAGGAGATTATGGAATTGATTGCTATGCCTTTGGCTCATCCTGAAGTCTATACACATACCGGTGTGCAGCCTCCAAGAGGTGTATTGCTTCATGGTCCACCAGGTTGTGGCAAAACGCGTCTCGCACATGCCATTGCAGGTGTAAGTTGAAGATTAGAAGATCATGGACTAAAACTAACCATGGTTATTAGGAATTGAATGTTCCTTTCATCAACATTTCAGCACCATCCATTGTTTCAGGCATGTCGGGTGAATCAGAAAAGAAGATTAGAGACGTGTTTGATGATGCCAAGGTACGAGGCGAGGGAAAGGGTTGCTTGAAAAGGAGTTGCTGACAACATTGGATAGACCCATGCACCCTGTTTATTGTTCATTGATGAGATTGATGCTATCACCCCCAAGCGAGAAACTGCCCAACGAGAGATGGAGCGACGTATTGTTGCACAATTGCTGACATGCATGGATGGTACTTATTATTAGAGATTGCATATATCAAGAATGATGACTGACCCTTGAAATTTAGATTTATCGTGGGAAAAGACTGATAACAAGCCTGTCATGATTATTGGTGCTACCAATCGACCCGATTCTTTGGATCCTGCATTGAGACGTGCTGGTAGATTTGATCGCGAAATCAGTATGGGTGTTCCTGATGAGAAGGCTCGTGAAAAGTAAGTAAGGGAAGATGATCCATAAAAGAGATTGGGTATTTACTTTTCGTGATGGAATAGGATTTTGCGAGTTTTGGCTGAAAAGCTTCGATTGGAAGGCGATTTCGATTTCCCATCCTTGGCACGTGCAACACCAGGCTATGTTGGTGCTGATTTACAAGCTCTTATTACTCAAGCTGGTGTCATTGCTGTTAAACGTATTTTCAAGCACTTGCGAGAGATGGCAGTATCATCAGTCGAACGCGAACAACCAAAAGAGGAGGAAAATGATGCACCAATGGATGAAAAAGAAGAGCCTGAATCAACAACATCCATGGATATTGATCCATCAGCTGTAGAGCCTACAGTACCAATTGCTGAATCACCCACTGAACCACCCACTGAAGAAGCACCTCTTATCACTACGAGTGTGGAAGAATTCGAGTCACAATCACCTCTTGAACAACTACGATCGATTGCAGACTTTATTCAAAATCACAAAGAACCACTTACACCAGCACAGCTCGAATCACTTGCTATTACTGAGCAGGATTTCCGTCATGCCCTTCTCAAGGTACAACCATCATCTAAGCGTGAAGGCTTTGCTACGGTGCCTGATGTCAGCTGGGATGATATTGGTGCCTTGCAATTTGTACGTGATGAGCTACGCATGGCTGTTGTGGAACCTATCAACCATCCAGAATTCTTTGAGCGTGTTGGTATCACATCACCTGCTGGTGTCTTGTTATGGGGTCCTCCTGGTTGTGGTAAAACTTTGCTGGCGAAGGCCGTTGCAAATGAGAGCAACACCAACTTCATTTCTGTCAAAGGTCCTGAGTTGTTGAATAAGGTATGACAAGTACGGATGATGTTGCTTTGTAAGGTTTATTTACTCAAAAGATGATGTTACTTAGTATGTTGGTGAAAGTGAACGTGGTGTGAGACAAGTATTCGCGAGAGCAAGAGCATCAGCACCATGCGTTATCTTTTTTGATGAATTGGATGCACTTTGTTCAAGACGTGATGATCAGCAGGTAATGAATTGTATATGCTCAAGGAGAAAACATGATATTGATCCTTTTTGATATAGACGGATTCTTCAGCACGAGTGGTCAATACCCTTTTAACAGAGCTGGACGGTGTAGAGAATCGAAGCCAAGTATATGTTATCGCTGCTACAAACCGACCAGGTAGGATAATGTAATCATGCTCTATATCATTAAGCTGACGCGCGATGTTTATTTCAGATATGATCGATCCTGCAATGCTTCGGCCAGGTCGCTTGGATAAATTACTTTACGTCGAATTACCAACACCAGGCGAACGTTTCGATATTCTCAGCAAATTGACAAAGAAGACTCCTCTTGGTGCATCTGTTTCCCTAAAGCAAATTGCAGAGGATCCTCGGTGTGAAGGATATAGGTAATTAACGACTTGGATACACTGAGATTGGATCATCACACGAACACTAACGCATCTTTTTTCAGTGGTGCTGATTTGGCTTCCTTGATTCGCGAAAGTGCGGTTGCATCATTACGAAGCCGATTTTTCAAACCCAATGGCATTTTGGATACCAAGTCTTCTGCAGACGCCATCTTTGTTGAAATGGAACATTTTGATACGGCATTCACCAAAGTTTCACCAAGCGTATTACCACAGGACAAGAAGAGCTATGATAAATTACGAGCCAAGTTTGGATAATCTAATTCACCCCTCATTCTTTCCATCTCTTTCCATTCCACCAACCATATGCATCATTTTGTAATTCTAGAATACAAATACATTCGTTTTGTTTAAGTTGTTTGATATATGCAAAAGTGACATAAGGGGAAAGAGAAAAAGAAAGAAACAATGGAGATGAAGATAATATGTGTATAATATGGATGATCTTGCGTGTGAGTGATCGTTTATGTTGTTTATCGACGGTCTCGGGAACCCATGGAAGTCTTGCCACTGAACAAATGCTTTGGCATCTTGGTGTTGATAGCTCGATCGGATTCGCCACGTTTGCCAAACTTGTTGGATTGTGTTTGAACAAGCTTCTTTTGTTTGTCGGCTTCTCGCTTTTGCTAAATAGAGTAAAATAAAATGTTAGATGATACCGCTTCCACGGATCCATTGCCAGCTCTTTTCTCTTTACCTTAACGTTACGGAAACCAAGGTTGCTCATCTCACGAGCCATCACCTCATCTCTGACATCCGCATCAGCCTCCTTAACAGCTTCATCAGCCTCAGCCTCAGAACGATTTCGTTTCTTGCCAATAGCACGTGTGCTTTGTACAGCAGCCTCTGGATCGAGACCATGTTTGCTCAATTTGTCACCCATGGCCTTCAAGTTGGCATTCTTGAGAGCTGACTTCTTTGGTAGAATGGCTCTGTTGCGGTTGTGCTCGAGTCGGTGTGCTTGAATGATCAACTTCTTGCGTTCGCGAATAGCATCAGCTGTGTTCTTGAGATCTTCTTCATCGGAATCCAACTATAGCACAAACAATGAGCCATCCAGTGAATGAATACACACACACCCGATTCACCCTACATACCATAGGTTCATTGACATCATAGAAACCTTCTTGTTCCAAACGTTCTTCCTCTCTCTCCAAGGCATCCAACTTCTCTTCAATATCAGGATCAATAAAGTCGGCAACGTTGTGACCTTCCCAGAATTCAGGAATAACATCTTGTTTCCATTCGTCATCGGCAAGCAAGTATTTATCTAAGAAGAATGATATGTGAGTATGCATAAGCCATACCTAAATATGATTTGTGTTACCTTTGAGATTGACATTGTAAACACCGGCACCACCATTTTCGGCTTCAATATCCTTGGCAAGCTTGGGACGGTTAGGATCGTTAGGATCGTATTTGACGCGGTTGAGAGCACCATCAGGGATGTTTGGCAAGCGAGCCTATACACAACACGAATGAATAAATCACCTATACCTTCCAATAGTAATAAATTTATACTTACGACCGTGTCTCTGGCTGTGGGCATGGCAAGATGGATCTTGTTGATGACATCGTTGATCTTGGAACCAGACATCTTCATCTCGACACGAGCTTGCAAAAGACGATCACAAGCTGAATTGCGAACATTCATGACACCTTCCTCGGAATAGCAGGACATGGTCATAACGGTAGCGTTTTCACCATTGATGATTTCTTCAATCAAGGCACGTTGTTCAGCTGGGAGATCCTCTGGCTTGACTTGATCAATCTTGTTGATAACGAGAACAATAGGCTTGTTGGCGAACAAGGGCTTGATGTTATGGAAGAGCTTGACTTGATCCTCAATACTGTAACCACATTGCTCTGACAAGTCCATAAAGTACATGATGCAGGATCTCAAATGGGCCATGGCAGTGATGGATTGCATTTCAATGGTGTTGCGTTCTTCAAGAGGATGATCCAAGATACCAGGAGTATCAATGACTTGCCATCTCATGTACTTGTAATCCATATGACCAACAAAGAGAGACTTGGTGGTGAAAGCATAAGGTTGAACTTCGACATCAGCTCGGGTGATCTTGTTGATGAAGCTGGACTTGCCAACGTTGGGGTAACCACAAATAAGAAGAGTGCGTGTGTTGGGATCAATCGATGGAAGACGAGACAAATGCTGACGCACTTGTTCCAAATAGGCCAAACTATCCTTTTGACGCTTCATAATAGTAGCCATTCTATTTGATCACTCTCGATTAATAAAACCATTCGCTAATAAAAGGGCAAACCATCATCTCACCTGCCGAGAGCTGCACGCTTGAGTTGCTTACAACGATACAATGAATCACCAAACTTGAGCAAACGAACATAGTCCTTGGCAACTTGATCAATCAAATGACGTGCCGTATTAACCTGACCCAAAGCAAGCTTGTAATGATCCTTATCGTAAAGCACATTCATAAGATCAGCGTAAAAGGGATGGACATCCTATTTTGTGTGTGCCTGTCAGTGAAAACTGCTCTCCTCATATACTTCCAATCCTTGTCTACTTACATCAAGCTTTGGGAATTCATCCAGGATATTCTTGAACTTTTCTTCAAAGTTGTCTTGAGTGAACTTGACCTTGCGCATATAGAACTGTCTAATACGACTGATCTTGTAGTTCTTGTGGATCACTGTCGGCGTCTTGCGTTGTGTCTTTGACAAGATAATGTCAATGAAATCGCTGGCCGTAGGGACCGGCTCGATCTTTTTAAAGTTGTAGAGCGACATGGATCTCAAGAGTCGATTGAAAAGGTTGGATCGATCGGGCGGTGGTGTCCAGGAAGAAGGAAAAAAATGCACTCGAGTTGCGGCTTTTTTTTCCTCTTCTCAGGCCCCGCTTCCACAATTGTCAAAGTCACACGAATGGCACCATTGGCTGCTCGAGATTGGGAACAATGCAACCGACTCCCGATATTATGATTTCTTTGTGAATACGATAATACTCTATCACCCTACCCTATACGTTATGATTACCTAAATTATACGAAGTGAGATGATTCATTTACTACTACTACTGCTAGGGCGGATATAAAGAATACGTTGTTGGTTTAACATTATCTTACTACTAGGCTGCTCATACGTAAAAAGATACGCTATACATATTGATGGTCACTCATCCTGAAACTCAATGGAGGGATTACTTCACTTTTTCTCTTCTCAAGCTCATCCCACTTCCCACTCCTCCTTATTGTATCACAAAAGCCATGTACTTCGTGCATGACCGATAACCGGACCACCTTTATTATTCCATTATCGAAGCAATAGTATGTAATCCACAAGCTAGCAGCAACCTCCAACAAGCGTGTAATAAATAAACAATGCTTTATTTCATCTAGCTATCTTGCTATGTACTGTACATTGCCACCACCATCGTTGTAGTCGTCCTCCGTCATCATTCCTACTCGTACTCGTACTCGTCACCAGTCGTCAATCTCATCCGTCACACCAACATCCAAAAATACACAAGTTGAAAAGAATGGGGTCTTGCAGGCTTCCTTTTGAATCTCATTGTCGTCATCATTGTCATTGTTGTGGATGGGGTGATCATCGTAATCGTCATTGTTGTGAATGTGGTAATCATCGTAATCGTCGTCTCTATAAATAAGAAAGCAAGCAAGTTAGACCATATGATGCCGGGAATGATGACGATTTGGTATACCGTTAGGCGATCCTCTCCAAGGAAGAAAGCAAATCAGAAGGAATTCGCAAACCAAATCACCACCATACGAGCAACGTAGGGGGATCCCTTCTTGTTCTTGAGAAAGCACTGCACAAATCACGCAAGGCCAGTTCGATCCATGGCAAGGAAGGACATCACTTACGTAGAGTCCAGGCTCATAGTTGTTTCTCATTCATCCTCCCCAAAGAAAGAATGATCCCCAATCCTTCCAATCATTTTCCACTTCATGAAAAGAAATCCTCAAGGGAAAGAACGAGCCTATCACGAGAAGAGCGTGTTGGTTCAACACATTCACGGCCAAGCCATTGCAAACCCCCTTTTACCTCAACACGGTGACCATGCTCTTCCAACAACCCATCGTCATCGACCCATCAACTCAAACGCAGGCCCGTAGAGCCCTGGACGCATTCCAAGAAGCTTTTCCAGCACACTTGGCTAGTGCAGAGCGACGCAGCGACCACTTGATACAGGCTGGGACTTGAACCCAAAGAGATGATGATGATGCCCCAAGTTGCATTGCCTGACCAAAGAAACCTATTCAATTCATTATTAGCACACACATACAATAAACACCCTTTTCATTGTTTGTTTCATTGTACTTGCCTTTTCCATATACACAAAGACCCGTTGTTGTTGGTTACTGGAAACCGAAAACCATGGTGTAGTATAGTTGAGCCGAAACAAAACACCAAACCAGCCAACGTCTTGAAACCAAACTTACCCTCTATACAAGCTGACGCGTCAATGGAACCAATTCGGCTGCAACATTGGACTCTGAATGTACCTGTTGACACCAAGCGTAGAGCGGGAATAGCAACGAGCAAAAGGAAGCAACCATATCGCCATGGCAACCACCAACCACGCTCATTCCTCAGCATTTGGACACACACTCACTCCCTGACAATGCATGTTCAGAACTATGTTAATGCCTCACAAACAACAAGAGCACTCTTTTATAATACATCACCTTGATCGAGATGTCGTGAATGGAATAAAAGCAGAGGAGTGAGAAAGAGAAGAGAAGCGTTGTCTCAAGTCGTGGAGCTGCTGTCCCCCAAGTTTAAATCCCCCTACTGCTATTACACTGAGGCCACTCAATGACCCCACACACACACCATCCACCCATCGTCATCATCACCCTCACGATAGACAATAGGTACACGTAAATAAAAGGCATGATCCTCACGTATAGCAAAAGGGTGTGTCCCATTTTACACTTTACATGATAATGATGATCCAACAACAGCCATTACCTTACTACCAGGTTAGCTCGAATCATGAAAGTTAAATGATGGGCATGCTGGGCTGGAGCAAGACAATCGTTCGTATGCATTGGATTGGACAACAAAGGCGAATGGGAGGACTAAGGTTATTAGCCGGCAGGTTTACAAATAACTTACCAATTTGATTCTTCTGATATTGGATGATGTTTCTGTGTTTGAGCGTTTTTCAGTCAAATCTCATCGGATCAAGAAAGTTGAATGATGGGCATGCTAGGCTGGAGCAGGACAATCGTTCGTATGCATTGGATTGGACAACAATGGAGAATGGGAGGACTAAGGTTAGTAGCTAGCATTTTGAACTTAGCCTAAATAGTGTACAAGAATCATGCATCGCCTGTGCTGAATGACTCAAGTTACACAAACACGCCCTCTGCATCTTTTGCTCTATTATAGTCATACTACTTTACATTAAACAAAGACCACTTCTCATATAGCATCACGCTTACAAACATAAAGGTGCCTGTATCTCCAAACTTTACAATCAAACGTGGGCTCTTTAATAGATCAACGTGCTTGTCGGTGTCAAAGGAATCTTGTGTCAAAGTATGAAGTTCATCGTGGGCGATCCCAGATTTCGCAATGTCGCTACCAGCCAAACTGGATCTGGAGGTCGACCTCTTCGTTGTATGGAGGCTTTTGGCCTCAGATTTATTGCGGGAGTATGTCAGAGAGTGATACCCCG